GGTGTAAATTTAGTACAAATTCTCGAAAATCAAGAATGTATGAAGAAATTCTTACTCAAACGATAAAAAGTGTCATGTTTTGGCCTTGCCCACGCTACAACTCTTTTTTGCATTTCTCCCGTACCTTTTTCAAGAATTTTTTTGCATTTGCCACTAATATGTGAACATGTTTGGGTATTTCATTAGAAAGGTAACATAATGTCTGGACTGTACTGAGGTATTCTGAAATTGTGTGCATTTGCCCTTTACGAGATCTTCTACATAAAGTCTGATCTGTTTTGATTAACAGTTTGGTGAAATTGCTTCTGTCAAAGCTATCCGTGTTTGTTCCTTGTTGAACGGAAGGGGCAAAGATTATCCTTTCCCACCAGTAGCAAAACCTTGACGAACCAAAAAGCTGTGGTCTTTTTAAAGAAAACATCGCTCGGTTATGTGGCACCATACTTACCATATTTCCTTTACATTTTGTCACTCCAATCTGCATAGAAGTCCCCAAATTGGGCAATTTTAACCACACATTTCTAGCTTCATAGAAAATCGAGGTACAAACAGTTTAAAAATAATCGAATTAAAGCAATTTGAAGCTTAGCTGTTCATTACAGCCAGCAAGATACATGGAATGATTTTGAAATAATTTGGCAAAAAAAGTCCAACTTGTAAAGAGCCTTTGCAACCATCAATCGGAGGAAGTTGTCAGCATTGAGTGGGCATTTTAATGTTATTAAAATGTGACTTTGCTACAAATAAAATCGTTTTCAATTCGTATCTCTATCATAAATCTCTTTTCTGCATCAGGCCTAGTCTTTGTTTCTTTAGGAGGAAATGGGTACATTAATGACTACTCTACTGGACGACTTTTACGGGATGCTAAGCTTTATGAGATCGGTGCCGGCACTAGCGAGGTAAGAATTTTTTCTTTTAGCTACTAGTATAGCTGGAATAGATTCTGTATATTCAGGTTCGACGACTGATCATCGGACGAGCGCTGAATAAGGAGTATGGCCAATAATAGATTATAATTTAGATATTTTTGCAAAATGATGCATCTAAGATTTGTAATAGTCTCATTTTGACTCATCTAGATAGGTGTTTTATAGTATCGCATAGCGTTTGGTGTGACTTTTCCGTCTTTTCTCTGCTCACAGCTCAATAACTGAAATCTCCATAAATAACCTCCAAATCTGACCTCTACTTCCTTTTCAATGTTACCTAACTATTTCTCATATTTAAAGCAGCCTTTTTTTTATAGTAACTAACCACTAGATGTATTTGCTGATTGTACACTTTTTATTGTCAAAGTTTTCTTGCT